CCCCAAAACCCCAAAACCCCAAAACCCCAAAACCCCTAAATATTTTAAGTAGTTGAAAAATAGTAAATGATTCTATCACCAAGAAATAAAATGATGAAAAACAAAATAGTAAGAGGAATAAGCATGAGCATTGATAAAAGCGTAATTTTACATCTCTGATGCTTCTTTTTGATGCAGTTTACACCCCAAAAAGCCTTCAGTCCATCTTTAGGAAGCTCTGGCTTCCTAAAATCCAACTTTTCTCCTATTAGTCAGCATTTGGGCACTTTTTCTACTTAAATTTTAAACTAATTGATCTCCTCACATAAATCTGGTTTAATGAGTTTTCAAATTATTCATATCTAAGTGTTACTAAAGTTAGCTTGGGAAAATACTCTCGAAGAATGTTGTTGTTACTTATAGTAGCTAACATCTCAAAAATTCCTCTTGTCCTTTACCCAATATGAAGGAATATTTTATAATAATTTTAAGATTCCTTGACCAAACTAATTTGCGGTTTGACAATTTTTGTCTAGAAGCAGTATAAAAGATTTAATAAAGCCGGAAAACACAGAAGACAAGATAGTCGTAGGGTACTCAAGGGAGGCAAGAACGATAGGGCCAAGTACTTTGGCAAGTAAGAATCTCTTTATTTTGACACTCTTATCTGCTCTTTTTACTAATTTTTAAATAGAAGAAAGTTGCTATCACTAAGCCCTCATGCAGAGGTTGTTATTATGAGAGATTTTAAGCATACTCATCTTTCGCAAAGGACTATGAGCAGTAAGAAATGCAGCACTTCCACTAAGAAGCATTCTTTTTCATCTGAGCACAGTCACAAGAAGATCCCTTTATTATTCGAAAGAACTAATAGATCCGTGATTCCTAACCTATGTAAGAAATCAACAAAACAGATATTAATGAAGTTCCTTAATAGAAAGAGGAACAATGTAGACATTTCTACCTTAATCAGGTCCTTTAACAAGGTGAGGTCGTTCTCTCCGCCTACTAAGAAAACTCATGCTCCAAAGCTACGACTATTCTCTGAGCCGAAGAAGAAGTTATTCACAAGAAGAGAAAGGCAAGATCAACAGAATATGAATGAACCTGCAGCTGATTTCGAAGAAAGCTCTCTTCATGTCTTCGAAGAGATGAGGCACAGGAATAAACAGTTTGATGACCTTATCCCAAAGGTGAAGATGGCTAAGCTCAGGTTCTTCCATTGAGACTCTCGTGCTGCTCTTTGCCATACATTGAGAAAGCTCCGCTCAGGAAAGCGGCCAGACCTTTTTGATCAGTAATTCATATGAAAAATTCAACTTTATGAGATATTGTAAATAAGTGATCCAGTGTTTCAATAAAAGAGTGTGTCTCAGGGGTTTTGGGGTTTTGGGGTTTTGGGGTTTTGGGGTTTTGGG